TCTATCCCTTCACGGCCCCCCCACCATCCACTTCCCCGGACCCCTGGAGAGCAACCCAATCTGGAGCTGTTCAGAGAGAGGCCAGGAAGGGGTTGCCATGGGAACGGGGCCTCTGCGTGATCCTCGGGCTCCTAATGGCTGCAGTGTGGGGCGTGTGACCTGTGATGGGGGTCGTTAGCGCTGCAGACTGGGGGGCTTTTGCTGCACGACACCCTCACCCCACCATGGGCCCTGGGGTGGGGCTGGGCCTCTGGGCGGCCTGCAGATAGGGGACAGCAGTGACGTGGCTAGACAGGGCCGTGTGGCACTCCCTACATGGGGCCGTGTATGTTGGCAGTCAGCAGGGCCGACTTGGACGCTGATCCCAGCCATGACGCGTCCATGTTAGTCTTGTGACCTGGGTGTGTTTCTTTATCTCCCTGTGCCTCAGCTTCCTCATCTGGAAGATAGGGATGAGGGCTGGGATCTGCCTCCTGGGTTGATGGTGATTGAGTTCATGTGTGCAAAGTGGCCTGGTGCCCTACTGGGCACAGGGACAGCCTCTGTTTATTTATCCACTTTATCTTATTTTTAATTTATTTTTATTTTATTTTATTTATTTGATGGAGTCTGGCTCTGTCGCCCAGGCTGGAGTGCAGTGGTGTGATCTTGGTTCACTGCAACCTCCCTCTCCCAGGTTCAAGTGATACTCCTGCCTCAGCCTTCTGAATAGCTGGGATTACAGGCACCTGCCACCATGCCCAGCTAATTTTTGTTTTGTTTTGTTTTGTTTTGTTTTTTTGAGACGGAGTCTCGCTCTGTCGCCCAGGCTGGAGTGCAGTGGCCGGATCTCAGCTCACTGCAAGCTCCGCCTCCCGAGTTTACGCCATTCTCCTGCCTCAGCCTCCCGAGTAGCTGGGACTACAGGCGCCCGCCACCTCGCCTGGCTAGTTTTTTGTATTTTTTAGTAGAGACGGGGTTTCACTGGGTTAGCCAGGATGGTCTCGATCTCCTGACCTTGTGATCCACCCGTCTCGGCCTCCCAAAGTGCTGGGATTACAGGCTTGAGCCACCGTGCCCGGCCAATTTTTGTATTTTTAGTAGAGACAGGGTTTCACCATGTTAGCCACTCTGGTCTTGAACTTCTGACCTTGGGTGATCCGCCCACCTCGGCCTCTCAAAGTGCTGGGATTCCAGGCGTGAACCACCATGCCCGACCTGAGTTTACTTCTCTTTCTTTCAGTCTTTCCTTCTTTCTTTCCTTCTTTTTTTCTATTCTTTCTCTCTTTTTTTCTTTTTTTGGAGACAAGGTCTCACTCCGTCGCCCAGGTTGGAGTTCAGTGGTTCTGTCATGGCTCACTGCAGCCTTTAGAACACAGATAGTGTTCAATAAGCAGAATAGCTGTGTGGAATCAAGAGAAGCGTGATGGAGCAGAGGTGGTCGGGGGGGCTTCCTGGAGGAGGTGGCACTTGAAGCTGAGCTCTGATGGTGGAGGTCCAGGTGGTGGGAATGGTGTGTATGTGGCCCAGAGGTGGGGAAGGGACGAGTGTGACATGTGCAGAGAGGGTGGGGCACCCTTGAGGGGCCAGCCAGGTCCCCACTTGGCCCCATGGGGTGACAGATGGGACCAGGATTAGAGCAGATGGGGGGGGGGCGACAGAGTGAGGAGGGTAGAGCAGGAGCCTGGCAGGGGTAGGGGACAGAGGGCTCACTATATCTCTTCAGAGGCCAACCACATTTGCAGGGAGCAGCCTGGGGCTGTGACCCTTGAGGCCCTGAGGGGGGCAGGTGCTCTGAGAGGGGGCTGGCGAGTAGACTGGCTTCGGTGGCGCCCAGGATGGAAGCCCCTGAGACCATTCGCAGTGACAGCTGGGACAGTCGGGGGCACAGAGGACTTGGGGCTGAGCCCAGGCTGCACGCTCAGTGCCCGCCTCTTCTGGGGGTACCAGGAGTGCCCTGTGCTCAAAATTTGTCCCAGACTCCAGGAGGAGCCAGGGGACGTGAGGGTGGCCCCTTCAGGTGGCTGAGCCTCCGGGATTCTGTAAGCTGGAACGGCTGTCTCCCCTGGGAGAAAGAAGCTTGAGCTCATGACCCGATTTCTCAGCACAGCTGTGGGACTCTGGGGTGGCCCTCTGTTGTCCCAGTCCTGCCCGAGACCTGTCACTGCCCTTCTGGGCCTCAGTTTCCCCGTGAGGTCCCCAGGCAGGGCCCCTTTCAGTCCCGACTAAGGGGTGCCTTGTGAGCTCAGGTTCTCCTTTGATACAGGAGCGACACTGTTGTTGGAGGTCCGTGGGCCTGGAGGCCCATGTCCAGCCGCCCTCATCGACATGCCCCTCCTGGTGCCGGGCTGCTCAGCTGTCCCTCCATACACTCGGTCCTGCAGGCATCTGGGCCGGCATGACTGTGCCCCTCTCTGGGTTCCTTTCTTCTGCTTCTGGGACGGGTGGATTCCCACCTTCCTCCTGGCTAATTTTTTATGTTTTTGTAGAGTTGGGGACTCACTGTGTTCCCCAGGTTGGTCTCAAACTCCTGGACTCCAGTGATCCTCCCACCTCGGCCTCCCAAAGTGCTGGGATTACAGGTGTAAGCCATTCTGCTGAGCCTGGGGCACTGCTCATTAGGCGCTCCCGGTATTTGGGGGTGTGGGAAGGGAGAGATGAGAGGAGAAGCTTGATTCCAAGGTTCCTCACCCATTAGGGTCATGGCTGTGGAGCCACTGTAGACCCCAGCTAGGGCAGCTGGGTGGGGACCTTGTCTCCAGCAGAAGGATAGTGTCTCTGTGCTGGGGGCTGAGCCCCTGACACTGCTGCTGGCAGTGCTGGACTGGGCCCTTGGGGGTGGCTGATGGCCGGTATCTGCCCGCAGTAGCCCTGGGTAGGAGGACCTAGCTCCCAGCCCACCCCTCTTCCTGGCAGCCCTGGGAAGGCCGGCCCCGAGGGGAGTATCAACCATGCCTCAGCCTGTGCGAGTGGCACCCGGGAGCCGACGGGCAGGTTTCTGAGCTGCACACCTGGTGGCCTCTGCCGTGGTGCTCAGCTTCCTCCCATGCCCTCGCCTGTCCGGTGTGTCCCATCTCTGGCTCATAGTGTTAAACACTCAAAGAGGGGCCCAGGGCAGGGGGTGGCAGGGACGAGGAGGGACCGAGAGGGACAGACGGGGCTCCTGCCACTCCACCGCTCCCCGTCCCCTCTCCTCTGGTGACCATCCATGTGCCAGGCCTGGGACTCAGGGGCTGGCCATGGGGAGGGACAGGGATGGGTGAGCCTGGTGGCATCTCCCACTCTGGGGGCCAAGGCCACCCCCTCCACCCAAGTGGATAATGTTCTTTGGGTTTACTTTTCTGTCTTAATTATTTTTTCTTTAGAGTCTGGGTCTCGCTCTGTCACCCAGGCTGGAGTGAAGTGGTGCAATCATGATAGGGAATCGCTGTAGCCTCGACTTCCTAGGCACAAGCGATCCTCCCACCTCAGCCTCCCGAGTAGCTGGGACTACTGGTGCATGCCACGATGCCTGTCTAAATTTTTATTTGGGTTTTTTTTTTCTTTTTGAGATGGAGTCTCGTTTTGTCTGTCGTCCAGGCTAGAGTGCACTGGGGCAATCTCGGCTCACTGCAACCTCTGCCTCCTGGGTTCAAAAGATTCTCCTGCCTCAGCCTCCCGAGTAGCTGGGATTGCAGGGCGCACACCACCACGTCCGGCTAATTTTTGTATTTTTTTAGTAGAGATGGGATTTCGCCATGTTGGCTAGGCTGGTCTCGAACTCCTGACCTCAGGTGATCCGCACCCCCCTTGGCCTCCCAAAGTGCTGGGATTACAGGCGTGAGCCACCTTGCGCAGCTAGCCATGTGTATTTAAACTGTCTTGGGACACACAGGCCTGCATGGTTGGGACCACAGCCTGGCTTAATGTGACCCAGGTCTGGCTAGTTTTTGGGTTGTGGTTTTTTTTTTTGTTTTGTTTTTTGTTTGTTTTTTTTTGAGGCGGAGTCTCGCTCTGTCGCCCAGGCTGGAGTGCAGTGGCGCGATCTCGGCTCACTGCAAGCTCCGCCTCCCGGGTTCCCGCCATTCTCCTGCCTCAGCCTCCCGAGTAGCTGGGACTACAGGCGCCCACCACCACGCCCGGCTAATTTTTTTAATATTTTTAGTAGAGACGGGGTTTCACCAGGTTTGCCAGGATGGTCTCGATCTCCTGACCTCATGATCCACCCATCTTGGCCTCCCAAAGTGCTGGGATTACAGACACCGCGCCCAGCCACTAATGCTGTTTTAATGATGGGAAAGCAGATTCTGAGCTGCGGTTTGGTGAGGATAGAGCAGGGTCCAAATGGAAAAAAAACCACAACCCGGCCGGGCGCGGTGGCTCAAGCCTGTAATCCCAGCACTTTGGGAGGCCGAGGCGGGCGGATCACGAGGTCAGGAGATCGAGACCATCCTGGCTAACACAATGAAACGCCATTTCCACTAAAAAAATACAAAAAAAAAATTAGCCGGGCGTGGTGGCGGGCGCCTGTAGTCCCAGCTACTCGGGAGGCTGAGGCAGGAGAATGGCGTGAACTGGGAGGCGGAGCTTGCAGTGAGCCGAGATCGAGCCACTTTACTCCAGCCTGGGCGACAGAGCGAGACTCCGTCTCAAGTAAAAAAAAAAAAAAAGTAAAATAGCATTAGCAAGTGCACCTAGCCTCACGTTTCATTGTTATGTGACAGGTTTTACGACATTTTCTTATAATATCCATGGCTGTTGTTCTAATTATTGCCACGGTTGCCTGTCTAGGGAACATAGGCCTTTTGGATGGGGGATGACAGAAGGGATGGATGATTCCTGGCCCTGAGAAACCCCGATTGGGGTTTGGGGGAGCTTGGTGTGTCATAAGGAAAGGTGTTGGGGTGAAGGTACTGCACAGATGGCTGTGCAGGACCGTTGGGACTCTGGGGGGCCCAGGGAGGGGTGAGGGCAGTGGGACCAGTGGGTCTGGGGTGGGCTGGGCGCTGGCTGGGGGCTCACTTCCGCCTGTCCCCCTGCAGGACACGGCCGAGCAGATGAGGACTGTGTGGATGACCGGGCCAGACACCGGGAGGAACGGCTGCTCGGGGCGCGGCTGGACCGGGATCAGGAGAAGCTGCTCAGGTGAGGGCATTGGGGGAGACTGAGGGTCTGGGGGGTGTCTGGGAGCCCCTGGAGGTGAGGGGCAGCTGGACGACCCCAGGTGGGCTTCGCCCCTTGACCCACGGATGCTGTGGTACTGAGAGCGGGAGCTGCCCTGATCCTCAGCACTGGGCCAGCCCTGCCCAGGCCAGATGACCCCACGACCCCTTACAGTGAGTCTGGAAGGCCCTGGGAGGCCCTTCAGTTCCGAGCAGTGGTTGTCCTGACTCATGGCCTGGTGGCAAACAGTTCCTTGGGGCAACCCCCTTCTCCCTCTCGTCCCCTGGCTGTCCGAGCTGTCGCTGACACCTGTGATCCTCCTTCCAGAGAGAGTAAGGAGCTGGCTGACCTGGCCCGCCTGCACCCTACCAGCTGTGCTCCTAACGGCCTGAACCCCAACCTCATGGTGACAGGGGGCCCGGCGCTGGCGGGCTCGGGTCGCTGGTCTGCCGACCCCGCAGCCCACCTGGCCACGCACCCCTGGTTACCCCGCTCGGGCAGCACATCCATGTGGCTCGCCGGACACCCCTACGGTGAGTGTGGGGTGCAGGGACTCTCCCCTTCTCTGAGGGAGGGGTGGGAGGGGGCGGGTGCAGGACAAGAGCTCAGGGCTGACTCCTGCCTGCCGTTTCCTGGGGGTCCTGGGCCTGGCCTCCACTTTTGTCCGAAGAAGGAATGATAATGGCTTCTGCCTCATGGGGCCCCTCTGCCATACCTGTTCGGGGCAGATGCCCAATGCGGGTGGCTCTGTGAGGTTCTTTGCAGCCAGCGAACATCCCTGTCCCTTGGCTTCTCCACTGGAGGCCCCAGGAGGTTCAGGACTTGGGAGATGGTGCTGGGCTGGGGCCGCCCGAGGACAAACCGCCTGGGGTCCCCCAGCACTGACTCAGGCCTGGGCTTCTCCTCCTAGGCTTGGGCCCCCCATCTCTGCACCAGGGCATGGCCCCTGCGTTCCCACCCGGCCTTGGAGGCTCCCTGCCATCGGCCTACCAGTTTGTCAGGGACCCCCAGTCGGGCCAGCTGGTGGTCATTCCCAGCGATCACCTGCCTCACTTTGGTAAGTGGACCCTCTGGGTGGCCACCGTGGGCCAGGCTGGCCGTGCCCAGCGAGGTGGGCTCTGATGCCAAGGGCCTCCCGCTGAGGGGTGGCGGCCGGCAGATCCGGGGTTTGGGGAGGCGGACTGGGGTTCAGAGAGAACATCTGTTGCCAGCGTTATAAAGCCTTGGGGTCTTTGTTGCAATGAGCTCCTGCCCAAAAACTCCGCAAAGAGAAGCAAGACAGGCAGCCCTGGGTGGGGGCTGGGATTCCCCTTACCTGGCGCCACCGTCTCCTCGAATCCACGTCGAAGGCCGCTGGAGGCTGGGCGCGGTGGCCCAAGCCTGTAATCTCAGCACTTTGGGAGGCCGAGACGGGCGGATCACGAGGTCAGGAGATCGAGACCATCCTGGCTAACACGGTGAAACCCCGTCTCTACTAAAAAATACAAAAAAACTAGCCGAGCGAGGTGGCGGGTGCCTGTAGTCCAAGCTACTTGGGAGACTGAGGCAGGAGAATGGCGTGAACCCGGGAGGCAGAGCTTGCAGTGAGCTGAGATCCGGCCACTGCACTCCAGCCTGGGCAACAGAGCGAGACTCCGTCTCAAAAAAAAAAGACGATCACTGGGAGGGGCGGGAGAAGGTGTTCCCTGGGTCCTCACAGTGGACCTCTTACACGTCTGCATGCTGACCTGCTCTGGTTGTCAGGCTGTGGGGACATCCCATCCCGGGTGTGGACAGGGCTGTGTTCCCGGGCCTGGGGTGCACATGTGGCCTATGGAGGACAGGACAAGCTTCCTGCCCCTAGGGAGCAGCCGGGGGCCCTGCAGAGCCCAGCTCCCCGCTGTGTGTGTGGCCCCTCTCTGGCCTTGGCTTCCCCTCTGTAAATGGGCATGGTGGTGCAGCATCAGGCCGCAGGTACAGCACACTGTCTGTGTCCCCGCAGCGGAGCTGATGGAGCGGGCCACCGTGCCACCCCTCTGGCCCGCCCTGTACCCGCCAGGCCGCAGCCCTCTGCACCATGCACAGCAGCTGCAGCTCTTCTCGCAGCAGCACTTCCTGCGGCAGCAGGAGTTCCTGTACCTGCAGCAGCAGGCGGCCCAGGCCTTGGAACTGCAGAGGAGCGCCCAGCTGGTGGTGAGTCGGGGAGGATGAGGTGCAGCTCCCTCTGGGGGCCCCATGGGTGATGAGGCAGATGAGTCAGCCAGCAGAAACTCCAGACAGTTACAGGGAGGGAGAAAACAGCAGAGGGGCAGGTGGTCAGGGAGGGCTTCCTGGTGGAGGCAGCACTGGAACAGAGACCTGGAACCGTCTGTGGAAAAGCTCTCCAGGCAGAGGGAGCTGTGAACAGAGGTAGATGGAGCCTGGAAGGGCAGGGTGCAGGAACAAGGGGGAAACCAAGGCAGAGAGGTGGCCTTGGGGACTGGGGAAGGGTGATTGGACGCTGAAGGAGTCCAGTGGGCTCCCGCTGTTGCCTGAGCCCAGCCTGGCCTCTTCTCTCTAGGTGGCCTCTTGGAGAGGCACAAGGAGGCCTGGCCCAGCTGTCTCTTGATGGCATGGTCCCATAAGATAGGGTACAGGAGGAGTCTGCTCTGGAGGAGTCGGCCCAGGTGGTACATACAGCAAGGAGCTCTCAGAGCCTGAGCCCCTGTTCTGAATCTTAGCTCTGCCAGGCCTGGCTGTGTGCTCATGGGGAAGTACCTTTACTTCTCTGGGCTTCAAGTTTCCTCTCCTAGAAACAGATGCTAGCGTTGTGTAGTCCTTGGGTTGCTAAATGTAACTGTTTAGTAATTGGGAGAGTGGCCTGTCTTAGAGGGCTTCATCCTGGTGTTTTTTGTTTGTTTGTGTAGTTTTTTTGAAGTGGAGTCTTGCTCTGTCGCCCAGGCTGGAGTGCAGTGGTGCGATCTCGGGTCACTGCAACCTCCACCTCCTGGGTTCAAACAATTCTCCTGTCTCAGCTTCCCGAGTAGCTGGAATTACAGGCGCATGCCATCTTGCATGGCTAATTTTTTTTTTTTTTTTTTGAGATGGAGTTTCACTCTTGTTGCCCAGGCTGGAGTGCAGTGGCGTGATCTCAGCTCACCGCACCCTCCGCCTCCCGGGTTCAAGCGATTGTCCTGCCTCAGCCTCCAAGTAGCTGGGATTACAGGCATGCGCCACCACGCCCGGCTAATTTTTGTATTTTTAGTAGAGATGGGTTTCACCATGTTGGTCAGGCTGGTCTCGAACTTCTGACTTCAGGTGATCCACCCGCCTTAGCCTCCCAAAGTGCTGGGATTACAGGTGTGAGCCACCATGCCTGGCCCTCTAGTGTGTTTTGTGTATTGACTGACCAGCCCAGGTAGGCACTGGTGGTCACGGAGCCGACTCCCTCCCATTTCCTCATAAGAGACATGCCTGGGCTCCTGCTGTCCGCTTTGGGGCATTGTGAGACCATAAAATGATGATGCAGTGAAGCAGGAAGGTTGAGCAGGTAGTGAGCGCTCCGTGAAGGCATCTGTCCCAATGCCATCGAGGGGTGGCCCCCCTGCCCTGACTGTGAGGGTCCCTGCAGGGCCGGGGTCCTGGTGGAGGTCCCCCATCAGCCCTGGTTCAAAGGGCCCCACCAGAGCTCCTCACCCCCAGCCCTGCCTTTTGGGGTTCTGCATGGAATGCTGTGCTTGTGACACATGGACTGGGATGGAATGTCCTCCGTCTCCAGCCTGGGAGGGGGTGGGCAGCCTGGACCCCAGGCCCTGCATGAGGTTCTCCTTGGGCTGGGGGACCCTAGGGGGACAGGGCAGGTGCGGAGGTGTGGGGCAGGGAACTCGTGCCGTGCTGACCCTGCCTGCCGGCCCCTCCCCAGCAGGAGCGGTTGAAGGCGCAGGAGCACCGGGCGGAGATGGAAGAGAAGGGGAGCAAGCGGGGCTTGGAGGCTGCGGGCAAGGCTGGCCTGGCCACTGCTGGCCCCGGGCTGCTGCCGCGGAAGCCCCCCGGCCTGACCGCCGGCCCCGCGGGCACCTATGGCAAGGCTGTGAGCCCGCCACCATCACCCCGCGCATCCCCTGTGGCTGCCCTGAAGGCCAAGGTCATCCAGAAGCTGGAGGACGTGTCCAAGCCACCCACCTATGCCTACCCCGCCACCCCCAGCTCCCACCCCACCAGCCCGCCGCCCGCTTCCCCGCCACCCACCCCAGGTATCACCCGCAAGGAGGAGGCTCCCGAGAATGTGGTCGAGAAGAAAGACTTGGAGTTGGAGAAGGAAGCCCCCAGCCCCTTCCAGGCCCTTTTCTCAGGTAGGATGCAGCCGAGACCCTCAGGGTCTCACTCTGGCCCTGGCGCGGTAAAACTGCTCACCCATCTCTTCATTGACCCATTCGGTCGTTCATTCATTCCAACTCCACGGAGCACCTCCTGCGTACCAGACCCGCCGCCAGACACTGAGACGAACACAGGAGCCCACAGTCACATCCAGCCTCTCCCCGGCCCCTTCTCAGCAGTAGTGTCAGGGAAATGGGCGAAATATTAGAAACTGCTTCAGGACAAGTTGTTCTGAGCTTTCAACCGAGCCACACCTGTCACATACTCAGTATGCAGTCAGCACTAAGTTCTACTTTGGTGATGATGGTCCAGGGACGCCCGTTCCGTGGGTCGCATGCACACACCCACTCTTCCCGTCTTCTGCATCAGGTGGCATTGCAGCAGGTGGCTTTGGGGGCTGGGACTGTGTTCTTCCTTCCTGGGGGATGTTAGGCATGTGAGCGCGTGCTTGGGAGGACTTTGGTTCAAATTCAGATTCTGGCACCAAGGCTGGGTGAGCTCGGGTCAGTGGTGGCAGTTACTGAGCTTGGCCTGGCGCCTGTCTCTCCTTTGTCAGTTTCCTTTTGTGTGCCTCCAGCTGCTGGGCTGGGAGTGGTGCAGAGAATCAGGGGCACACAGCCCTACTCTCAGGGAGATTATACCTGGGGACAGAACTGGGTTGCTATTCCTTTTTCTTTTTCTTTTTCTTTTTTTTTTTTGAGATGGGATCCTCACTGTGTCACGCAAGCTTGTACTACAGTGGTACAATCACAGCTCACTGCAGCCTTGAACATCTGGGCTCAAGTGATCCTCCTGCCTCAGCCTCCCAAGCAGCTGGGACCATAGGCACGCATCACTGGACTTGGCTGTTTATTTATTTTTATTTATTGATTTAATTTTGAGACTGAGTTTCACTCTTGTTGCCCAGGCTGGAGTGCAGTGGTGCAATCTCGGCTCACTGCAACCTCCGCTTCCCAGGTTCAAATGATTCTCCTGCCTCAGCCTCCCTCGTAGCTGGGATTATAGGCATGTGCCACCACACGCGGCTAATTTTGTATTTTTAGTAGAGACGGGGTTTCTCCATGTTGGTCAGGCTGGTCTCGAACTCTCAATCTCAGGTGATCCACCCACCTCAGCCTCCCAAAGTGCTGGGATTACAGGCGTGAGCCACCACGCCCGGCCAACTTATTTTTTATATTCATACAGATGTGTCTTGCTTTGTTGCCAAGGCTGATCTTGATCTCCTGGGCTCAAGCAATCCTCCTACCCTGGCCTTCCGAAGTGCTGGGATTGTAGGCTTGAGCCACTGCAGCTAGCCCTGCTGTTGTATTTTGTTTTGAGATAGGGTCTCACTCTGTCACCCAGTCTGAAGTGCAGTGGTGCCATCATAACTCACTGCAGCCTTGATCTCGCAGGCTCAAGTGATCTGTCCACCTTTGCCTCCCAAGTAGCTGGGATTACAGGGGTGCACCACCATGACCAGCTAATTTTTCTTTGTAGAGATGGAGTTTTGCAGGCCAGGCACAGTGGCTCACTCCTATAATCCCAGCACTTTGGGAGGCTGAGGCGGGTGGATCACTTGAGTTTAGGAGTTTGAGACCAGCCTGGCCAACATGGTGAATCCCTGTCTCTACTAAAAATATAAAAAATTAGCTGGGCACAGCCGGGCGCAGCGGCTCACGCCTATAATCCCAGCACTTTGGGAAGCCAAGGCGGGCAGATCATGAGGTCAGGAGATGGAGACCATCCTGGCTAACATGGTGAAACCCCATCTCTACTAAAAATACAAAAAAAAAAAAAAAAAAAAAAAAATTTAGCCAGGTATGATGGCGGGTGCCTGCAGTCCCAGCTACTCGGGAGGCTGAGGCAGGAGAAGGGCGTGAACCCAGGAGGCGGAGCTTGCAGTAAGCTGAGATCGTGCCACTGTACTCCAGCCAGCCTGGGTGACAGAGCGAGACTCCATCTAAAAAAAAAAATTGGCCAGGCGTGGTGGCTCGTGCTCATGCCTGTAGTCCTAGCTGCTCGTGAGGGTGAGGCAGGAGAATCGCTTGAATCCAAGAGGCAGAGGTTGCAGTGAGCCGAGATGGCGCCATTGCATTCCAGCCTGGGCGACAAGAGTGAAATTCCATCTCAAAAAAAAAAAAAAGAAAGAAATAGGGTCTCACTTTTGCCCAGACTGGTCTTGAACTTCTGATCTCAAGCAATCATCCCACTTTAGCCTCCTAAAGTGCTGGGATTACAGGCGTGGCCCACCACACCTGGCCTTGCTGTTACGTTTTGAACAACTGCTTTAATGGGGTGGAGCAGCAGGTTCGTGGGGAGTGGAAGCCAGACCACACAAGGTGGGTAAAGGCAGTTGTAGGCCTTTGCAGACCTCATGAAGTGTTTGCTTCTGCTCTAGCCTTGTGCTGGGTGCGGAGTGGGAAAGGGACGAGAGAAACAACTGTGGTTCTCTGCCTTCAACACCACAAGACCCTGGGGACAGGAAGGTGGCTGATTTTTCACTGTGGGGCCGCTGCATGGCCCTGGGGTCTCGGAGATCCCACCTAGAACAGCTCCCAGCCCTGCAGCTGGGTGAGCAGAGGGCAGCTGTGTCCCGCGTCTCTGGGGTGGTGGGCGGTGTCAATGGGGACATGGGATATGAGATCCTAGGGCTCCCATGCTGACCCCTGTGTTCTTGGCAGATATCCCGCCCAGGTACCCGTTCCAAGCCCTGCCACCACACTACGGGAGGCCCTACCCTTTCCTGCTGCAGCCCACGGCAGCCGCCGATGCGGATGGCCTGGCCCCCGACGTGCCGCTCCCGGCTGATGGGCCCGAGCGCCTGGCACTCTCACCCGAAGACAAGCCCATCCGCTTGTCGCCCTCCAAGATCACAGAGCCGCTGCGGGAGGGCCCGGAGGAAGAACCGCTGGCTGAGCGGGAGGTGAAGGCAGAGGTGGAGGACATGGACGAGGGCCCCACAGAACTGCCGCCTCTGGAGTCGCCACTGCCACTGCCCGCCGCGGAAGCCATGGCTACCCCCAGCCCTACAGGGGGTTGTGGAGGTGGCCTGTTGGAGGCCCAGGCGCTGAGTGCCACTGGGCAGAGCTGCGCAGAGCCCTCCGAGTGCCCAGACTTTGTGGAGGGGCCTGAACCACGGGTGGATTCCCCAGGCCGGACAGAACCCTGCACTGCCGCCCTGGACCTGGGGGTGCAGCTGACACCCGAGACGCTGGTGGAGGCCAAGGAGGAGCCGGTGGAGGTGCCTGTGGCGGTGCCCGTGGTGGAGGCAGTGCCCGAGGAAGGCCTGGCGCAAGTGGCACCAAGCGAGTCCCAGCCCACCCTAGAAATGTCAGACTGTGACGTGCCCGCCGGGGAGGGACAGTGCCCGAGCCTGGAGCCCCAAGAGGCTGTGCCTGTGCCTGGCAGCACCTGCTACCTGGAAGAGGCAAGCTCTGACCAGTTCCTGCCCAGTCTAGAGGACCCACTGGCTGGCATGAACGCCCTGGCGGCGGCTGCGGAGCTGCCCCAGGCCAGGCCTCTGCCCTCCCCGGGTGCTGCTGGAGCCCAGGCCTTGGAGAAGCTGGAAGCAGCTGAGAGCCTTGTCTTGGAGCAGAGCTTCCTGCACGGCATCACCCTGCTGAGTGAGATCGCAGAGCTGGAGCTGGAGAGGAGGAGCCAGGAGATAGGTGAGAGTGCGCAACCTCTGAGTTCTGCAGATTTGTGAATTTTATTTTTGTGGCGACGGGGTCTTGCTATGTTGCCCAGACTGGAGTGCAGTGGCACAGTCTTAGCTGTCTGCAGCCTCAAACTCCTGGGCTCAAGTGATCTTCCCTTCCCAGCCTCCCAGGTAGCTTGGGCTACAGGCATCCACCACCCTGCCCAGCTAACTTTTTTAAAAGATTTTTTTTTTTTTTTTTTTAGAGATGGGGTCTTGCTGTGTTGCCCAGTCTGGTCACAAACTCCTGGACTCAAGCGATTTTTGCCTGCCTCGACCTCCCACAGTACTGGGATTATAGGTGTGAGCCACTGTGCCCAACCCCTTAAACATTTTTTAATAAGATTTTTAAATTATGAAAAACTGGGAATGTGGTTTATTCATATTCGTTTTTTAAAACAATTGTGATAAGATACACATAACAAAATGTTCCATCTTGAGCATTTTTAAGTGTCCTGTTGAGTGGCATGTTAAGTGTGTTTGCACTGTGCAGCCGGTCTGTAGGTTTTCTGGTGGCGAAATTTCGCATTCTATCAATGGTGTATTTTAGCAGGATTTCTTGGGTTGCAAGGAACAGAAACTCTTATTTAAATTGGTTTAGGCAGGAGAGAATTAATTGGCTCTTGGAACTGAAGTCCAGCAGTAATTAGGTAATTTCAGGTATGGCTGGATCTAGGTGTTCAAGCCAAGAAACCAAGTTTCTCTTCTCCTACACAGGACCTTCCCTAGTCTCTCTCTCTGTGTCCCTATCTCCTTCCCTCTTGTTCGACTTTTCTCTCTGTTGGCCTCATTCAAGGCCGACTTACTGTCGCTTAACCGTCTTCATTGGGTTGGGGGGCGTGGTCTGTCAATTCCTCCCAGATCCCTGGGCCTGCTCAGCAGCCTCACAAAAGACGCCACCTCTTTCTTGCTAGCTTTGGCAAAAACACTGAGATTCACTCTCGTAGGCTGACTGCGGTTCATGCTTTTTTTGTTTTTTTTTCTGAGACAGTCTCCCTCTATTACCCAGGCTGGTGTGCAGTGGCATCATCTTGGCTCACTGCAGCCTCCGCCCTCCCGGGTTCAAGTGATTCTCCTACTTCAGCCTCCTGAGTACCTGGGATTACAGGCACGCACCACCATGCCTGGCTATCTTTTTGTATTTTTAGTGGAGATGGGGTTTCACCATGTTGGCCAGGCTGGTCTTGAACTCCTGACCGCTAGTGATCCACCCGCCTTGGCCACCCAAAGTGCTGGGATTACAGGCGTGAGCCACCGTGCCCGACCGTTTTACTTAAAATGTTCTTTTTTTTTTTTTTGAGACAGAGTTTCGCTCTTTTTGCCCAGGCTGGAGTGCAATGGCGCGATCTCGGCTCACCGCAACTTCCACCTCCTGGGTTCAGGCGATTCTCCTGCCTCAGCCTCCCTCGTAGCTGGGATTACAGGCATGTGCCACCACCCCGGCTAATTTTGTATTTTTAGTAGAGACGGGGTTTCTCCATGTTGGTCAGGCTGGTCTTGAACTCCCAACCTCAGGTGATCTACCTGCCTCGGCCTCCCAAAGTGCTGGGATTACAAGCGTGAGCCACCGCGCCCGGCTAAAATGTTCTTTATTAAACAGTTTTCAAAGTTGTGGGTTTAAATTAATATTTTTTTTTTTTTTTTTTTTTTTTTTACAAAAAGTAGAGATGGGGTTTCGCCGTGTTGGCCAGGCTGGTCGCGAACCCCTGACCTCAAGTGATTTTCCCACCTTGGCCTCCCAAATTGCTGGGATTACAAGCATGAGCTGCCAGCTTAAAGCTGTGGTTAAAAAAAAAAAAATCATTGTTTTAGGAACTGCCCAATTTTCTGCCTGGTGGTGGCCCTGGCCCTCGATGACCCAGTCTTAGATGGTCAGGCATTTTCGTTTGCTTTAAAACAAAGTTTATTTATTTATTTTTTTCTGTTGCAAATAACGGGATGGTTATCCTTGAAGAAAAAAAATCTTTGTCCATATCTCTGAATTGCCTTGGATTATATGCCCAGAGGTAGAACTGTTGGGTCCAAACAAGGCCACATTTTTCAAGGCTTTCTGATTGTCATGGTCAGATGACCCTCAAGGAAGCCTGGAGAAGCCACGCTCCCATTGGCCTGTGTGAGCAACGCCCCTTCCCCACTGGGTGGCCGTTGTCCTAAAGTTCATTGCTGCTTTTCTCTCACTGAAATAGTTCAATAGAAACTTTTTTTTTTGGTAGAAGAAAATCAAAATTCCCTTGGTCGGCTGGGCGTGGTGACTCACGCCTGTAATCCCAGCATTTTGGGAGGCCGAGGCAACAAGAGTCCATCTCAAAAAAAAAAAAAAAAAAAAAAAAAAAATTCCCTTGGTCTTCCTACCTGGTATTGGGTTTTATGTGTGTGTGTGTGTGTGTGTGTGTGTTTTGTTTTGTTTTAAATTTTTTCTGGGACAGAATCTCGCTCTGTTGCCCAGGCTGGAGTGCAGTGGTGTGATCTCAGCTCACTGCAACCTCTGCCTACTGGGTTCAGGTGATTCTCCTGCCTCAGCCTCCCAAGTAGCTGGGATTACAGGTGCATGCCACCATGTCCAGCTAATTTTTGTATTTTTAGTAGAGATGGGGTTTCGCCATGTTGGCTGTGCTGGTCTTGAACTCCTGGCCTCAAGTGATCTGCCCACCTCGGCCGCCCGAAGTGCTGGGATCACAAGTGTGAGTCACTGCACCCAGCCCAGAATTCTCCACCCTAGTAGGACACCAGCCTTACGGAATTAAGACCCACTGTCATGACTTGAACTTGACCACCTCTGCAAAAGCCCTGTCTCCCACAGAGGTCACCTTCTGAGGTTACGGGGCGGTTAGGACTCTCACATATTAAATTAGTGGGGAAATGACTGAACCCCTCACTGCTTGGCATCCCTTGTCTGATCAGTTAAGAGCTTCGGGAAAATAGGTTTGTGGGAGGGTGAAGGAGGTGACACAGTTGTACCTTGGTCCCCTCCTGGAGAACAGAGCAGCCCTCCGTCCTTACCTGACATTGTAGACTCCACGTCTCGCAGGAACTTGGGGCGGGGGTAGGTGGCGCAGAGGCATCACCATGGGGTGGGCGAGACGGTTTCAATCTAACATCAGCCTTTGGGAGCTGATCAGGTTTGCGGCTTTGTGGCCTCAGTTTCCCTAAAGATATAAGAAGAGCAGCTGGGCGCAGTGGCTCACACCTGGAATCCCAGCACTTTGGGAGGCCAAGGCGGGTGGATCACTTGAGGTCAGGAGTACGAGACCAGCCTGGCTGACATGGCGAAACCCTGTCTCTACTAAAAATAAAATTAGCTGGGCGTGGTGACACATACTTGTAATCCTAGCTACTCGGGAGGCTGAGGCAGGAGAATTGCTCGAACCCAGGAAGCGGAGGTTGCAGTGAGTCGAGATTGTCACTGCACTCCAGCTTGGGCGACAGAGTGAGATGACAGAGTGAGATGACAGTGAGATTCAGTCTCAAAAAAAAAAAAAAAAGATATAAGAAGAGCAAAACAAGTATTCTCAACTAGAGGTGATTTTGTTCCCCCAGGGGACATTGGCAACTGCAGTTTTGGTTGTCACAGCTTGGGGGGAGCACTACTGCCATCTAGTGGGTAAAGGCAGGGACTCAGCAAGACACCCTACAGTGAAGGCAGAGGACAGCCCTCAGCAGGGATGCGAATGAATAGTGAAATGTGAATGGTGCCAAGGAAGAGAAGCTCCCCCCTCAGCAGCATCATTAGTCATGTCTGTCTGTGGAACTTTGCCAATAGAGAATATGGTTCTCGGCTCACCACAGTCTCCGCCTCTCGGGTTCAAGCGATTCTCCTGCCTCAGCCTCCTGAGTAGCTAGCACTACAGGCATGGGCCACCATGCCCGGCCAATTTTTTGTATTTTTAGTAGAGATGGGGTTTCTCCATGTTGGTCAGGCTGGTCTTGAACTCCTGACCTCAGGTGATCCGCCCACCTCGGCCTCCCAAAGTGCTGGGATTACAGGTGTGAGCCTCTGCGCCCGGCCAAAAATTGGTATTTTAGATCACAAAGAAAATGTCAGCTGGGCATGGTGGCTCGCGTTTGTAATCCCAGCACTTTGGGAGGCCGAGGCAGAAGGACTGCTTGTGCCCAGGAGTTTAAGACCCGCCCGGGCAACATGGCGAGACCTCGTCTGCATTAAAAAAATGAAATGTCAATTAAAAAATTGTAATAGGACTCATTTAAATTTGGTGGAGACCAAAGCAAGATCTCTGTGGTTGAAGCACTCTTTCTGGAGGGTTGGGGGAGTATTTATCAGAGAGAGAGAGAGAACTGCACACACCTGGTCATATTCATCACATTGGTGAGGCTTTTCCTACCACACGTGTCCCAGCTATGTGCCCATGTGCTCCTATTACAAAAAGACAGGAGGCCGGACACAGTGGCTCACGCCTGTAATCTCAGCACTTTGGGAGACTGAGGTGGGAGGATCAGTTGAGCCCAGGAGTTCGAGACCAGCCTGGGCAACGCAGCAAGACCCCATCTCTACAAAAAATATAAAAACTAGCTGGGTGTGATGGCATGTGCCCGTGGTCCCAGCTACTCAGGAGGCTGAGGCAGGGCGATTGCTTGAGCCTGGGAGCTTGAGGCTGTGGTGATGTGTGATGGTGAACTCCAGCCTGGGGCACAGAGTGAGACCCTATCTTTAAAAAAAAAAAAAAAAAACGGGGAAGAACCTAAATGCCATGAATGGGAGATGACTGACTTGGATGAATCAAAACTCATCAGTTCAAGAGGGTTCTAGGCTGCTCCTCCGCCCCGCCCCCTCGCATGATTCTGCGTCAGCTCCTTCTTTGCACGTTTGACCATTTAAAATTGCTGACATTCTAGTGTTTTTGACCTTTAGAGATGGCAATTTTTATAAGGTTCAAGCTGATAATAATGAGGTAAATGTTTGCTTTGTGCTGAGAAAAGACATTAAGCAGAAAAAAAAGCAAAGTGTGATACAGTGTTGAGATTTTTTTTTTTTTTTCCCCTGAGACAGTCTCCCTCTGTCGCCCAGGCTGGAGTGCAGTGGGGCTATCATGGCTCCCCGAAACCTCTTGCCTCCAGGGTTCAAGCGATTCTCGTGCCTCAGCCTCCCAAGTAGTTGGGATTACAGGTGGTCACCACCGCATCCAGCTAATTTTTGTATTTTTAGTAGCGGGGTGGTTTTACCATGTTGGCCAGACTGGTCTCAAACTCCTGGCCTCAAGCCATCCACCCACCTCGGCCTCCCAGAAGTGCTGGGATTACAGGCATGAGCCACCGTGCCCAGCCTGAGATTTGTGTTGGTGTGTGTTTGTGTGTGTGTGTGTGTACGTTTTTTCTTTGAGACAGGCTTGCTTTGTTGCCTGGGCTGGAGTGCAGATGTGATCGTGGCTCACTGCAGTCTCACCTTCCTGGGTTCAAGTGATCTTCTTGCCTCAGCCTCCCGAGTAGCTGGGACTGCAGGCACCCAGTTTACATTTTTATATATATATATTTTGAGCTGGGGTCTCACTCTGTTGCCCAGGTTGGAGTGGTTCAATCTCAGCTCGCTGCAACTTCTGCCTCCTGAGTTTACGCAGTTATGCTTCAACCCGCGAATAGCTGCGACTACAGGTGCTGGCCACCATGCCCAGTTAATTTTTGAATTTTTAGTAGAGACAGGGTTTCACCATGTTGGCCAGGATGGTCTCAAAACTGCTCACCTCAAATTATCTGCCTGCCTTGGCCTCCCAAAGTGCTGGGATTACAGGCGTGAGCCACCACGCCCAGCTTATTTTTATATTTTAAAAGATGCCCGTGGATGTCATGTGCATTTGAATATGCATAATCATTTCTGGAACTGTCTTCTGGAAACTGCACCCACAGTGGCCTCCCAAGGGGGGGACCTGTGTGTTGCAGGAGGAAGGAAGAAGACTTTTTTTTTTTTGAGACGGAGTCTCGCTCTGTCGCCCAGGCTGGAGTGCAGTGGCCAGATCTCAGCTCACTGCAAGCTCCGCCTCCCGGGTTTACGCCATTCTCCTGCCTCAGCCTCCGGAGTAGCTGGGACTACAGGCGCCCGCCACCTCGCCCGGCTAGTTTTTTGTATGTTTTTTAGTAGAGACGGGGTTTCACCGTGTTAGCCAGGATGGTCTGGATCTCCTGACCTCGTGATCCGCCCGTCTCGGCCTCCCAAAGTGCTGGGATTACAGGCTTGAGCCACCGCGCCCGGCCGCAGACTGTCTTTTTTTTTTATACCTTTCTGCTTGGTTTGTATTTTTCATCCTGGACTTTTTTCTGATTATAAGAGCCATGTATATTAGCTACGGAAAAATGTACATACAAATAAGTGAAAGGAGAGCTGTACTGCTGGGAAGTACCCTTCGGCCTTTGGAGGCCCTCCCTCTGGAGGTTTTGCTGTGCCCAGTGTACTCTGGGAATAGAGCACAGGACCCTGTGGCGGGCGTGCTGCCTTCTCTCCTGTTCTGTTGATAGATGGACTGAGACAGAGTCTCGCTCTGTCGCCCAGGCTGGAGTGCAGTGGTGCCATCTCGGCTCACTGCGTTTCACCGTGTTAGCCAGGATGATCTCGATCTCCTGACCTCATGATCTGCCCGCCTCAGCCTCCCAAAGGGTTGGGATTACAGGCGTGAGCCACCGCGCCCGGCCTATTTTTTTTTTTTTTGGAGATGGAGTCTTGCTCTATTGCCCAGGCTGGCATGCAGTGGTGCAAACTCAGCTCACTGCAACCTCTGCCTCCTGGGTTCAGGCGATTCTCCCACCTCAGTCTCCTGAGTAGCTGGGATTCCAGGCGTGTGCCACTACAGCCGGCTAGTTTTTGTTATTTTTAGTAGAGATGGGGTTTCACCGTTTTCCCATGTTGGCCAGGCTGGTCTTGAACTCCCGGCCTCAGGTGATCCGCCCGCCTCAGCCAGCCAAAGTGCTGGGATTATAAGCATGAGCCACTGTGCCCGTCCTTCTCCCCTGTTCTTGTTGAGAGATGCTCAGGACTTCCGGCATGTCACAAAGGCCTCTGTCCACTCAGCACCTTGGGGGATGGGCACGTGTGGCCTGGGGCCTGTGCTTGCCCTGGACCTTGCCATCCCCGTTTGGGGTCGGGTGGGGCGGTGGCGGCAGCGCCCTGTTACCTGCCTCCTGTCTGCAGGTGTGGAGCGGGCCCTGGTGGCCCGGCCCTCACTGGAGAGTCTGCTGGCAGCGGGCAGCCACATGCTGAGGGAGGTGCTGGATGGGCCTGTAGTGGACCCGCTCAAGAACCTGCGGCTCCCGCGGGAGCTAAAGCCCAACAAGAAGTACAGCTGGATGCGCAAGAAGGAGGAGCGGGTGAGTGGCTGGCTGCTTCCTCCCTGGGGCTCGCGGGCTGAGGCCGGGTGGGAGTCCCCTCTGTGGAGGTGCCCTTCTGCTCGGGCGTGGCTGGCTTTGGCGCCAGAGAGGGCTGAGCTACATTCAGCTCCTTGTGCTGACATGCTATGTGGTCCCAGGCAAGTGGTTGCCCTTCTCGGGGACTCAGTTTACCCATCTGCTAGCATGTCGGGCACACCATACAGGTCGCGGTGTGATCCAGTGGCAAGAGAGTAGCCCAGGGTCACATGTAGCTCTGGCCTTAGGTGCCCACTGGGCCTGGGGCTGCAGCATCCCCTCACTGAGCCTCCATTTATAAATGACACAATGGCCCTCACTGATGGAGCAGGTGTCATACGCAAGTGCTGTGCTTCAGGCATGCCATCTAATTGAGCTCTGCCACAGCCCCGCAGAGTCAACACAGGGTCCTTTGCCTACGATGAGGCCATGGCCTCAGTTAGGAGGTGGCAGCGGTGGGACTCGAGCCCCAGCTCCCAGTGCCGTCTCCCCTTCCTCGGGGCACCTGGGTGGGCGGTGGGCGTCGTTGGGCAGTGGCGTCCTCACCCCCTCCTCCTCTCCCGGTTCTTCCCCCAGATGTACGCCATGAAGTCTTCCCTGGAGGACATGGATGCCCTGGAGCTGGACTTCCGGATGCGGCTGGCCGAGGTCCAGCGCCAGTACAAGGAGAAGCAGCGTGAGCTGGTGAAGCTGCAGCGCCGCCGGGACTCCGAGTGAGTGTGTCCCCCGCCCGCCCCGTGGGGCCCCGCCCCGGCCGGCCAGGCCCCCAGGCGCGCAGCAGCCGTCGAGGTGTGCGTGGACCCGACGCCGTGTGTGCGTCGTGTGCCCGTTCTCCACGTCCCGCCCGAACCCCAGCGTCACAGCCAAGCGTGTGATTCTTTTTAAGGGACAGGCGCGAGGAACCCCATAGAAGCTTGGCACGCAGAGGCCCTGGCAGGCCGCGGAAACGGACCCACGCCCCGAGCACCCTGTCGCCCCCCCGCAAGAGAGGGAAGAGCGGCCACAGTAGCGGAAAGTAAGGCTGGCCCCTCGGTGGGTCGGGGACTGGCACACAGCTTGAGGGGAGGAGCCCGGGCCCCACGCGGGGCCTGCCTCGGGGTACTGGGGGACCTCGCGTCCCTCGGGCTCTGACCTACCTGCAGCAGTGGCCCTCGGGGAGCACGGACTGTGCTGCCCGGGCCAGGAGGGAGCGAGGCCAGTGCTGAAGTGGATGGATGGCTCCTGCGACAGATTTTTCCCATGTCCTAACCCAGCGCTTCACCTGTCTTCCTGCCACGCCTGCCTCCTCACGCCTAGGGCCTAATTCCTCTTTTACATGCGCCTCCTCCCTGCGGAAGGACCCGCTGGGCTGCCAGCCTTGCTTGCTGGGACGGACTGTGACCTGGCTGTGGCTCGGTCTCCGCCATGCCGGACCTGCTGGCTTGCCCCCGAGACCAGGGCTGGCTCCTTCTGGCACTTGGGGACAAGCTCCTCCTCCTCGGGTGGCGGTCGCAGCCTTGTGGGGCGCCTGTGTGGGTCTTTCTGAACGCCAGCTGGAACGAGAGCTTTTCCCGCAGGGCGAGGCGTACACAGAAAAGATGCTTCATCCTTCCGTCGGTGTCTGTAGCACGGGCGCAAAGGGGCCCGTCAAGGAAAGGGGCCGGAGTGTTCTGAGCCTGGGACAGGAGGGTGGGGTAGACGCTAGGTGGCTCAAGACCTGCCCTGAGGAAGCAGGAGGAGCCCGGGAGCCTTCGGGGGGCACAGGAGAGGCAGTAGGAAGGCCACAGGTCTTCTCAGGATAAAACAGCCCCAAGGCCCCCACGTCTTGCATTTAACATCCTTGGATGTTTCTGAGTGAAGAGAGGATGGAGAGTGGTAGAAATATCCCTCGCCGGCCACAGCAGGGGCAGGGAGAGTTTCCTGGAGAAGACGGCAGGAGGCTGCGGCCACTAGCAGTGTGGTGGTCAGGGGTGTGGCCTGCACTGGTTAAATTTCCTATTCTTGAGTCCCAGCACCATCCCTTAGTGTGACTGACCTCAGGCCAGGTGTCTGCTTTTCTGAGCCTATTTTCTCATCTAAAAAAATTAAGTACACAGGTTGGCCACGGTGGCTCATGCCTATAATCCCAGCACTTTGGGAGGCCACCGAGGCAGGCGGATCACTTGAGGTCAGGAGTTTGAGACCAGCCTGGGCAACATGGAGAAACCCCATCTCTACTAAAAATACAAAAATTAGCCGGGCGTGGTGGTGTGTGCCTGTAGTCCCAGCTATTCGGGAGGCTGAGGTGGGAGAATTGCTTGAACCTGGGAGGCAGAGGCTGCAGTGAGCTGAAATTGAGCCACTGCACTGCATCCTGGGCAACCGAGTGAGACTCCATCCAAAAAATAAAAATAAAAATAAATAAAATACAGCAGCACCAAACGTTTGTGGCCAAGATACATGTCACTAACAGTGCAAGACACACAGTGAGTGAGTGCCAAGTACAGATTGGCTGTTTCGATCACCTGTGAAGTTTCAGCTTAAAGCAAGCAAGTGGGGCTTCTAAGCCACGTCTGTGTCCCCATTGCCACTGCGCACGGGATTCCGGAGACCAGCAAATGGCTCCTTTTTTGTTTTTTTTTTCCTTGCTGGAGAAGACAGACTGGAATCCTTCTTCGTGTAAACTTGTGTCCTAAACTCCCCCTGCCATCCTGGTGGATTTCGTTGGCATTTCTGATCTTTGTTCTTGGCACGATATGGTTAATAGGTATCTGACCACACAGAGATGTGTGTGAGTGTACGCGTGAAAGCACACAAGAAAGAAAACGCTTTTTTCCTTCTTTCACCTTAAACTCTCATTCTGCCTCATTCACAAATATCCCAGAATTCCAGCACTGTTGTAATTTACAAGATCCATCTCCCCACGCCCATCACTCTGCCATCACTGTCCACGCTTCAGGGTCCAGAGCCCAACCCTTCAGGGCCACGAGGGTGGACCCCAGCCCGCAAGTCTTGTCTGGCCAGGGTGCTGACCGGTAGTGCGTCTGCGTTTCAGGCTGAACAGCAAGTCTCTGCTGACATCAGATGACTATGAGCTGGGAGCAGGGATAAGAAAGAGACACAAGGGGTCTGAGGAGGAACATGATGCCCTCGTCGGAATGGGGAAAGCCAGGGGGAGGAACCAGACTTGGGATGAACATGAGGCCTCGTCCGACTTCATCAGTCAGGTGAGTAACCCAGTCTTCCAGGTGTGTGAGATCTTTCAGGGAGGTGTCTGGAGGGTATGTTAAGAGTTCACGCTCCCTTTGCAGGCCCCTTGTTCCTGTACAGAAACCTTAGAAGTGGCTGTCTTAGTGCCAGAATGACGACTCTTCTCCAATCCTTATTTTACAGAGGGGGAGATTAAGGCCCAGAGGAGGTCAGAGACCTACCGAAGTAACACAGCTTCAGAGACAGGAGACCTAAAAGCTATCTCCCTCCGTGTGCTGCATGACCCTTTGCTAAAGCCAAGCAGAGATACAAGTTCTTAACCAAATAATGCAATTGCTCTGTTGTTTAACGGTGTAATTGTTTAATGAGTGGCTTTGCCATTCTGTAGTTCTAAGAAACAAGGGCTTGGTGCCATGGTAATTTCCTCTCTGAACTCTCCAGGGGTAATGGGCTGAGAGCCAACTCCTTGAGTCTTCTTATTTCTTCAGAGCATTGAAATCATCCACTTAAGGTGCCTTTCTGTAAATAGTAATGTACCTTGTCATCCCTCCCCATAAAGCCCAGTGCAAAGGGGTAGTTTTTTGTTTTGTTTTGTTTTTTTGAGACGGAGTCACTCTGTTGCCCAGGTTGGAGTGCAGTGGCACAATCTCAGCTCACTGCAACGTCTGCCTCCCAGGTTCAAGCGATTCTCCTGCCTCAGCCTCCCGAGTAGCTGGAATTACAGGCGCCCACCACCATGCCTGGCTAATTTTTGTATTTTTAGTAGAGACAGGGTTTCACCATCTTGGCCAGGCTGGCCTTGAACCCCTGACCTCAGGTGATCTGCCTACCTCAGCCTCCCAAAGTGCTGAGATTCCAGGCGTGAGCCACTGCACCCGGCTGAGGGGTATTTTGGTTGACCTGGTTGAGAAAGCATGTTTTCTTAAGAAAATAAGAAGTGTTTATGGAGTCAGAGTTAAGATATTGTCACCTGCTTTATGGGGCTGTTGGGGCAGGCTCAAGGAGGGAGACGGGGTCTAGGAAGAGAACGATCGCCAGTGTGTACACCAGATATTTTTTACTTTAAAATTGTGGTAAGGGATGCTTTTGTTTTAATTGCCACCATCCCAACTTTTTTCTTAAGAAATGTCACCTGATTAAAGAAAATCGAGATAAAATGTTCAAACGTGGGGCATCAATGGCTTTGAAACTGCATGTTTCACTTCAACAAATGACTACAGCTGACAATAGATGTGCAGGCAGGAATTTAATCTGTGAAATCGCTAATGGTTCTTTCTGCTTCAGGCATCCAAGGAACACTTGAGGCATTTTTTTTTTGGCAGGTTTGGCCCCTTTAGTTGGGCAAACTGGTTTGGACTGTGCACTAGTCTTTGTCAGCTGCTGTAGGTGACTGAGGCATATCAGCTGCGCTTCAATCTGGGGTTTTGATCTTGATTCCTTTCCTCCTCTCTTAATCCAGCTGCCTTCTCCAGGCCATTGGCAGCAGCACTTGCAAGTGCTTCCTTAGGAGACAGCAGGCAGTGCCACGGAAAGCCAGGGCCAGGGATTAATGTAACCACAGCACTGGCTGTTTAATAAGTGGTTACCTTGTACCAGACATTGTGGTCACTGCATACCTTACCTGAGTTCATCTTCAGAAGCACCTTGTAATGCCAGACACAAGTATCCCCATTTTACAGAGTTAAACATTGAAGCTGGCCAGTTGTGGTGGCTTACGCTTGGAATCCCAACACTTTGGGAGGCTGAGGTGGGAGAATGCCTTGAGCCTAAAAGTTTGAGACCAGCCTGTGCAACACGGTGAAACCCCATCACTACAAAAATAAAAATAAAAAAAATCAGGAGTGGTGGCACACGCCTGTATTCATCCAGCTACCAGAGAAGCTGAGGCGGGAGGGTCACAGAGCCCAGAGGTTGAGGCTGCAGTGACTTCCGACTCCCAGCTAGTCGGGAGCCTGAGGCAGGAGAATTGCTTGGACCTGGGAGGTGGAGGTTGCAGTGAGCTGAGATCACGCCACTGCGCCCCAGCCTGGGCAACAGAGCGAGACTCCGTCTCTAAATATATGTATATATGTGTGTGTATATATATAAAAAAATATATATATAAATATGTATATTTATAGATATAGAAGCTAAGAGGAGTTAAATCACAGAGGCAGGGGAAGGATTGGAGCCCAGGCTGGGCAGAGCATGTGCACAGACACCCACTACGCTGTTTTGTCAAATCTTTTAACCCATGACCCACCTTCCCTCTCCAGCTAAAGATTAAGAAGAAGAAGATGGCCAGCGACCAGGAGCAGCTGGCAAGCAAGCTCGACAAGGCCCTCTCCCTCACCAAGCAGGACAAGTTGAAGTCGCCCTTCAAGTTTTCGGACAGTGCTGGGGGGAAATCGAAAACTGGCGGGGGCTGCGGCAGGTACTTGACTCCTTACGACAGCCTGCTGGGGAAGGACAGGAAGGCGATGGCCAAGGGCCTCGGCCTGTCTCTGAAATCCTCCAGAGAAGGTAAACACAAAAGGGCCGCCAAAGCCAGGAAGATGGAGGTGGGGTTCAAGGCCAGAGGCCAGCCCAAGTCGGCCCATTCCCCGTTCGCCTCGGAAGTGAGCAGCTACTCTTACAGTAAGTAGCGGATGCCGCGCCACCTTTGGTCCGCTGCTTTCTCTTTCGCTCCCCTCTTCTCTCCACCGTTCTCCTCCCCTCTCTCTCTCTCTCTCTCTCTCTCTCTGGGGCGCACTAAAGTGCCTAGGCTTGGCATGGCCGCCAAGCCGGAAGTTGGGGGGAGGCCGCCTGAAGCGGATATGCCTGTGATTGGCGAGTGTGATGCCGGGCTGGTGCCGGTGATTGGTGGGCGCCCTTGATTGGCGATTGGAAGCCGACGTCCGCCAGCGCTCTCCTTACCCGCCGTCCGCTTGCCTTCCGGATGCCATTGGCGTGGAGGCCTTGCGCGTCATAGATTTTGCAGCTGTTTGGCCTAGACAGGTCTGGAGTGCGACTGCTCTTGAGGGTCCTAGAGGTGACTGGACTCCCCTACCCACAGGAAGCGTGCTGTCTGTTGCAGACCACAGCTTTGTAGCGAAGTGTTGGCGGAAACAGCATTTATGGAGCGCCCAGTGCTGGGCTCTGGATGCAGGGCTTCACTGGCATTATTGTGTCTATGGCAGCTCTGACAGTGGTACCCCCATGTTGTTGCTGGGGATGCTGAGGCCTGAGAGCCAGAGGGAGTGTGTGCGCTCAGGTGCGAAGAGGCGACTCGGGGTTAAAACTGGTTTGGCCTGACCCACCTACTCACTGGAACCTGCTGCCATCATGGCTGTGGCCCACTATTGAGTTGTTTTTGTTTTTTGGGTTTTGTTTTGGCTTTTTTTTTTTTTTTTTTTTGAGACGGAGTCTCACTCTGTCATCCAGGCTGGAGCACAGTGGTGCGATCTTGGCTCACTGCAACTTCCACCTCCTGGGTTCAAGCAATTCCCTTGTCTCGGCCTCCGGAGTAGCTGGGACTACAGGCATGTGCCACCACGCCCAGCTAATTTTGTATTTTTAGTAGAGATGGGGTTTTGCCATGTTGGCCAGGCTGGTCCCGAACTCCTGACCTCAGGTGATCCACCCGCCTCGGCCTCCAAAGTGCTGGGATTACAGGAGTGAGCTACTGCGCCCTGCATTTCTTGAGACAGTGTCTCTCCTTATTGCCTAGGCTGGAGTGCAGTGGGGCCATCATAACTCACTGCAGCCTTGAGCTCCTTGGGTCAAGTGATCCTCCTGCTTTAGCTCCCCCAAGTAGCTGAGACTAGGTGAGCACCACCACACCCGGCTAATTTTAAAATTTTTTTGTAGAGACAGGGTCTTGCTGTGTTTCCCGGGCTGGTGCCTGGGCTCAGGCAGTCCTCCCCTCTGAGCCTCCTGAGTACCTGGAACTACAGCTGTGTACCACCGCGTGCAGCTAATTTATGTTGATTTTCGTAGAGATGGGGTCTCCGTGTTTTCCAGGCTAGTCTGGAACTCCTGACCTCAAGCAAGCCTCCCGCTTTAGCCTCCCGAATAGCTGGGACCGTAGGTGCACACTACTACATTCAGCTAATCTATTTTTATTTTATTTTTATTTTTATTTATTTATTTTTTTTTGAGACGGAGTCTTGCTCAGTCGCCCAGGCTGGAGTGCAGTGGCCGGATCTCGGCTCACTGCAAGCTCCGCCTCCCGGGTTTACGCCATTCTCCTGCCTCAGCCTCCGGAGTAGCTGGGACTACAGGCGCCCGCCACCACGCCCGGCTAGTTTTTTGTATTTTTTAGTAGAGATGGGATTTCACAGTGTTAGCCAGGATGGTCTCGATCTCGTGACCTCGTGATCCGCCCATCTCGGCCTCCCAAAGTGCTGGGATTACAGGCTTGAGCCACCGCGCCCGGCCTTATTTTTATTTTTATAGAGGCTAAGTCTTGCTATGTTGTCCATGCTGGTCTTAAACTCCTGGGCTCGAGATCTTCTGCCTCAGCCTCCCAAAGTGCTGCAATATAGGCGTGAACTGCCTTGCCCAGCTGCTATTGAGCTCTTGAAATGGAGCAGTCCTGGTGGGACTGAAGAATGGAGTTTTATCTCATTTAATAAGAGACTGCCAGATTGGAGTGCCCTCATGGTCATGGCCTCTTGTGGCCCAGAGCCTGCTGCCTGTTTGGTTGAGGGTGCTTGCTCAGTATTTGTGGACAGGTGCTAAGTTTGTGGCTGCTGCAGGGAGGCCAGGAGGAGCCTCCTGGGTTCTAGCCCATGTCAGTGTCTGTGGTGGCTGTTCTGGGAATCCCCAGTCCCTGGGGCGTGTGGAGAGCTTTTGCATTGGCAACTGCCTGGTTCTGTGTATCTGGAGCTTTTGATTGGCTCTGGCCGGTTCATGGGCGGAGAAGGGGGAAGTTTGAATGTCAAGGGCAAAAAGTGGACACATTGGCCGGGCGCAGTGGCTCAAGCCTGTAATCCCAGCACTTTGGGAGGCTGAGACGGGCGGATCACGAGGTCAGGAGATGGAGACCATCCTGGCTAACACGGTGAAACCCCGTCTCTACTAAAAAATACAAAAAACTAGCTGGGCGAGGTGGCGGGCGCCTGTAGTCCCAGCTACTCGGGAGGCTGAGGCAGAAGAATGGCGGGAACCCGGGAGGCAGAGCTTGCAGTGAGCTGAGATCTGGCCACTGCACTCCAGCCTGGGCGACAGAGCCAGACTCCATCTCAAAAAAGAAAAAAAAAAAAAAGTGGACATGTTTACTGATACAGTAAAGTGTGTTTTCTTAAGGAAAGAAAATAAAAAGTGTTTGCTTTATGGGGCTGTTGGGGGGCCTTAAGTGAGCTCACGTGGGCAGAGAGTGGAATGTGGCACTTGGCACAGGATTAAGCTGCTGGTTTTTTTGGGGTACATGTGTTTTTCCTGGGCTAGCAGGTCACCAGGACTGATGCTCCCCATGGGTGTGAGTTAAGCTGGTGACTTGTGCCTTCTGTGCTGAGGACGTATGAGAGTGTCGTGGCTTCCGTGCCTCTCTGATTGGGATGGGTGTGATCACAGAAGTACAGCACAGGCTCCTGGCCAGTGTGCGTGGGCACAAGCAGGGAGGGACAGTGCCAGAGACTCATCACTCTGAGGGGGGAAAGGGAGGGGCTTTCTTTGGCTCTCTCAATCTCTGCTCATTTTGGAAAAGTAAAGGGGGTTCAGCAAAGTGGGGGGAGATTGCTGTTCTTTTGATCTTCTGAGGGAGTGGGGTCGGTGGATGCAGTCTGGGTGACAGCTGGAAGAATTCCCCACTTTCAGGCGGATGTGGATGGAGTCCAACCGAAGGTCAGAGATGAGCTCTGTCCCTGAGGTCTCTGGAGTGCTCCAAGCTGGTGTGTTCACTCCTGGCGCGTGTGAGGGAATGTTCGTTTTATTTATTTATTATTATTATTATTTTGAGATGGAGTTTCACTCTTGTTGCCCAGTCTGGAGTGCAATGGCATGATCTCGGCTCACTGCAACCTCCGCCTCCTAGGTTCAAGTGATTGTCCTGCCTCAGCCTCCTGAGTAGCTGGGGTTACAGGCACGCACCACCACGCCTAGCTAATTTTGTAATTTTTAATAGAGACAGGGTTTCATCACACTGGCCAGGCTGGTCTTGAGCTCCTGACCTCAGGTGATCCGCCTGCCTCAGCCTCCCAAAGTGCTGGGATTAGAGGCGTGAGCTGCCGTGCCGGTCTGGGAATGGTCAGCTGGGCACCCTCACTTCATCTTGCCTTTGTTGAAAACTCCACTGTCCCAGATGAGAGAAACAGACTAATGTAGCAGTGAGGAATTCAGTGGGCCTGGCTCCAGTGGGATGGTGGCTGTGGGATTCACGTGGCTCTGCAGAGCGCTCCTCTATTTTTTATAATCTGCTTTTCTGCACTTCTGGGTCAGAGAGAGTGCAGGGTCCACAAGCAGGTAGGGGTGTGTCCGGCAGGGAGGCGCTGAGCTGGACGAGGTCGAAGCGAGAACGGTTTCCTCTTGCTTTTTCAGTTTCGATTGTAGGGGTCGGTGGCATGCCCTGTGGGTTTTTGTTTTTTGGTTTTTTTGTTTGTTTGTTTTTAGATGATGTCTTGCTCTGTTGCTCAGGCTAGAGTGCAGTGGTGTGATCTTGGCCTCACTGCAACCTCCACCTCCTGGATTCAAGTGATCCTCCCACCTCAGCCTCCTGAGTAGCTGGGATTACAGGCGCCGACCACCACAATACAATACAAATAGAAAATACAACAGTTTTTGTATTTTTTTAAAATACAGATGAGATTTCGCCTTGTTGGCCAGGCTAGTCTCGAACTCCTGGCCTCATGTGTGCTGCCCGCTTCAGCCTCCCAAAGTGGTGGGATTATAGATGCAAGCCACCATGCCCAACCTCCCTGTGGGTTCTTGTAGGAGGCCAAGTTGATTGTCACCCACTGGTCTCTCCAGCCTGGGACACAGCCTTGGGAGGGACAGTTTGGAACATACAAGAGAGAGCGTGCTTTGACTGGTAGATGGGCAGGGGCTGGTAGCCTGGCGGGGACTGGACCTTGTCCCACCCCAGAGTTGCCGGACCATCCTGAGGTTAGGGTCTTGCTGGAGTGAAAGCTTAGGTGTTGGTGGGAGCAGTCAGAGGAATGCCTGCCGTGGACGCGTGCATGTGGTTTCTCTTGGAGGTGGCAGGTGCTGCCAGAACTGTAGCTGTGCTGGTTCACGTTCCCCCCATTGGCAGTGGATTTCAGCAGATCAAGGGATTATTCTGTCTCTGGAATCCCTGTCTTCCCATCTTGCCCAGTATGAGAAACAAATCAAAATGGCATGAGCATGGCGGGGACTGGAGCAATGCCTGCTTCGCAGGCTCCCCTCCCAAAGCTGGCGGTTATCTCTCCAGAAGGTTTGAAGACTCCTGTCCTCCATTGTATAGTGAGGCTGGAGGCTTCGGGGCAGCCACCAGTGGTGTGTCGGCGCACCGGCTTGTAGAAAGAAGAGCAAGGGAATAGCTAGCGGTAACAGCATTTGCCCATTTCCATGGCGTAAACACCCTTACCGTGGCCTGTCTCGTGCTGCCATTAGGAGGCCGCTGGGAGGGGCGTTGGGAAGAGAACGCGTGATCTGCTCTCATGAGCCCTTCCCCTCCTGAGTCAGGTCCTCTGCAGTTGTCGCCCTTGGGTCATTGTAATCCCATGGGACAGGCAGTGACCACCGTGACCAGGGGACAGTCCTTCCTGAGCATAGGGCTCCTCTCATCCCCTGGTGCCCGGAAAGGCTGGAGTGACTGGTGGGTGAGGCTGGAAGCATCCAGTCTAGGAAGGGCCTGGGTCCAGCACTCGGAAGATGCCGTGCAATGGCCGAGGCACCCGGAGCAAGGAAGAAGCCTGGACTGGGAGGGGAGCTGGTGACATTGGGCAAGGCCTTCCCACGGCTGCCTACTAGGTATTCAGACCTGTTTGTTCTGGCACCTTCCAGTGCGTTCTCAGAACCATTAAAACCAATACAATGACACCAGCTCCCGCTGCCCTGTGACTTATCTCTATTAAAAACTACTTTGACTGCAGATACGGACTCAGAGGAAGACGAAGAATTCCTGAAGGAGAGTGGCCCGCCCAAGGCCCCTCCAGCTAGATCCAAACTGACGCCTTCTCTCCTGTGTGGCATGGTGGCAAAGAACAGCAAGGCGGCTGGCGGCCCCAAGCTGACCAAGAGGGGCCTGGTGGCCCCCCGGACTCTGAAACCCAAGCCGGCCACCAGCAGGAAGCAGCCGTTTTGTTTGCTGCTTCGAGAGGCCGAGGCGCGTTCCTCCTTCAGCGACGACTCGGAGGAATCGTTTGACCAAGGTTACTAGCTCCAAACACAAAATACCTTCCGTGTTTCCTAGCGAGAGAGTGCGTGCGAGTGAGCGAGAGGGAAGCGAGTGGGCGCACGGGAGAGATGGCGGGTGAGGAGGCCCGTGCGGATGGCCGCGAGAAGGCTGCCATCTGGGTTCTTGGCAGCGTAGCCTGCTGTTAATCAGCTGAATGGTTTTGATTTTTGCTTTGATTTGTACTGTATCATTGTGATAATATCACCGGCTGGCTCTTTTTGAGCTCTTATATGGACTGCTTTTGAGTCTGCGTTTTTCTCCACTTTCCCTCTTCCCTGCCCTCCTCCCCCTCTCCCAGAGTTCCCCCCAACTCCCGCACTCACCTTTTCTGCCCACCCAGAGACCCCAGGCTTGGGTCGGGTTCTCTTTGGGCACGGGTTTGGTGGAGGCTTCCCGAGGAACATTTTGTAAATGGAATTCTGTCGTGTGGGCGTGTGACTTGATGTTTGTACTGCGATTTTGGTAATACCAAGCTTTATTAAACATATCGAGTTCATTTTTAACTAAACCTGTGTGCCTTGTCTCTCTTGCTGTGTCCTTACTAGACATTAGGTTGACGCTTCCCTCTCATTTTGTTTCTCCCCCACCTCCTCCCCTCCCTCCTCCCCACCCAGAAGGAGTAGGGACGGGACCGTGCCGCCTGCCGCTTGCCTGTGTTATTCAAATATCCCTGGTATCGATTGGCATTCATTTCATTTTTCAGGTTTAAAATCAAGCGCCTTCACCTCCAGCATCATCATGTTTTTTAGTTGCTTGTTTTGTCTTTTATTTTCTTAAAGTTCTGTTCTTACTTGCCAGTGGTTAAAAACTATTATTTATAAACACTTGGCTTCTCACGTGTATTTCTGTTTTGAAGGGCGTGTAGGCAGCGCAGGGCCCAGAGCCTTTGACACCCCCGGTCTCTGTCATTCAGTACGAAAGCGGCTCTGTTGCCGTGTCTAGGGACAGAATGTCATGCTTTGTTTGGAGAGAGGCTGCCCTGGTCTCAGCTCGGGGTCCTCAGCCACCTCGGTTCTCAAAAGAGAGCCGCCTGGGCCCTGAGAACCCACTGGCCTTGCCGTCTCCAGTGTCAGAACTGTGCTTCTGAGATGAGACATGTGTGAGCCTTTCAGGCCCTTCAACCAGAAATGCCCCAAGAAAGGAAAGCAGGTGAAGCTCTGACATTTTTTCCTAGCCCTGGTTTTAGGATTTGCTTCAGGGTAAACTCCCCCTAGGGCCAGCCGAAGGGATCCCCCAGGCCCTGGGTAGCCACACCTGAATGTTAGCTACTCCCTGAGGAAAGCCTGGGGAGGGATGTCATCATGTCCCTGGGTCTGACCTGGCTCGGGCACCCCGGGACCTGAACGCTGTCCCCCCACCCCGCCCTGTTTTTCCAGCCCTGCTCTCGAATTCCTGGTCTACCACCTCCCCTCCCAGACCTCCCCTCCAAATTGGCAGAGATCCATTTGGGTGACCAGGAGGTGGTATGGCAAGGAGTACGATGCCCCAGGGCCCATGTTCCCCTGGGCTGCTACTACCCCTCTGAGCGAACGCCGCCCGGGCCAAGAAGAAAGGCCCGTGACCCACTGGCCAGCCTCATTTTCTGAGGCCTCCCCCTGCCCTGGCCGTCCGTGGATGAGTCGGGTTAGTTTATGATTCCCTTGTCCCTCCCCAGCCTCCTCCCTCTCCCCCATCTCCCCCATGGGCTGGACCGCACGCCCCCACCCCACGCCTCCTTAAAGCCATGGTTCCCACTTCCAAGTTTTTGAGCCCTCCTGCCCCAGCTCAGACCCCACAGAGAAGCAGGCAGCCCCCTAGGCCTCTTAGGAAGGGGCTCCAGGCTGGATGCCGCAGTGCCAAGTGGACAGGACCCAGATAGGGGAGTGCGGGGGGCGAGGGGAGGCTGGGGAGGTCCAGGCTCCTCAGTGCCCCCCTCCACCCCCGCCAGTCCACCATTGAGCAGGTCTTGAAAGGGATATTTGGGTAATAGGGCCTCGCTGACCTGGTACTAAACTCCATAACTGGCTTGGCTTTTCTAGTGTGTCTGCTTCTTCCAGCAGCCCGACCATCCCTCCACCCTTGACCCCTCCCCATGACGCTTTGAATGTCTGTTTTGGTCTCTTGCATTTGCTCTCACGCTGCACTCTGGACGCAAAGCGAAGGCTGGGAGTAGGGCAGACGGCGCAGCGGGTCACTGAGCTTGGGTGCGAGCCTGGCTCGTTGCTCCGTAGGTAGGCAAAACGCTTTTCTTTCTGTCCTCCGTGCACCTCCCTCCTCGGGGTTCGCCCCCACCGGGTCTGGCAGCAGCAGATCGCTCTGACATTTACCACCAACCTGTCACCGCCAACCCCATGTCCTGAGCCAAGATCTTTTTTTGTTGTTGTTTTTTTCTTTAAATCATAATAAAAAAAAGTTTTTCTGCATTTCCTTGGGTTACTTTGATGGGACTTTTTTCCCCCCCCTCCCTGTCCCCAACCCTTGGCAGGCTTTGTTGCCTCAGGTGTGGATAACTCCAGAAAGGTTTTCTTGGTCCTGAGAGCCCCTCTGCTCCCCGGCCTGCCGCAGACGCTAGCGGAGTGTGCCCCAGACCCCGCAGGGGCAGCAGGCGTGGCCTTGTCAAGCACGCAGGGAGGCGGGAGGGGCTCCCATGCCAGCATGCAGGCATCGAGCTGCTCCCGGCTTTCTGGGCTCTGGTGTGGACGTTGTGGGCGTCCAGAAACCCAGAGCTCGCCCTCCCGCCGCAGCCCCTGCTGGTTGAGAATTCCTCTGGATGGGAAAGATTTCTGGAGTCTGCACACCTGAGTGGCAAGAAGGGAAGATCCCTGGCCTCATGCCCAACCCTCCGCCCCCACCACCTAACCAGCACCCCTCGGCACCACCTTGCTCAAATTGGCCCACCCCAGGGAGACCCGATGTGGGGGACCCAGGCGCTGTTGAAAGTCTGCCTACACTTAGCCTGCTTTGCCGCTGTGGCCCACTGGGGCGGAGACAGAGCCATGTGACGCCTGCAATGTGAATGATCGCAAGTGTGCACTGCCTGCCTGCCTGTCCCCGCCTGCCCGGCTGGCCTCTCCAGCCTGCTTCATCCATCGCTCTGGGGGCCAGTCTCCCCTCTCACCCTCTTAACAAACCTCCTCCCTCTCCCTCTGGCTCCTCCCTCCCTCCCTCCCTCTACCCCTCTGCGGACTCCTCAGACTCATCACCGTCCTCTGTGAGGTGGCCCAGCAGAAATCCGGGCTCCCTCCAATACACGAGTAGACAGACAGAACCTCTGCCCTCATTGGCACCCCTGGGGCCACCGCTTTTGGCCACAAGTTGCTTAAGCAAGCAGGCGGCTTGGGGCATTGGCAGGAGACTGTGGAGTTGGCTGTCCGTCTTCCCCGTCCGTCTCCCCGAGCCTAGACTGCTCCCCATCCTGGAGAGAGAGGGTCTGGCATCTGCCTCTTCTTGCTGGAAGGGGTCACCTTCCAGCCCTGCGGCACCCAGAGTCACCTTCCCACTTCCAGCACTCTGGTCCGCGAGGCAGACAGGCGCCCCTGTCACCTGCTTGTGGGTGACACTTTGGATGTGGCATCCCAGGGCGGAGTTTGCTCTCTGAGGCCTCCCACCTGCCTGTCCTTGGAAGTAAGTCTCTGCCTCAAGACAGTCTCTCTTTTTGGTGGGGGAGATTTTGGTTTGTGTGCAGGGAGCCTCTTGTCTGCCAGCTGCCTTTGTCCTGTGAGCCTGGGCTAGGCTCTGGGGGCTGCAAACTCTCAGGTAGGCAGGGAAGGTTACCGGATAATGCTCATCTTAAGTCACCAACCAGAGAGACAGGCTGGGGCTTCTTTATTTTTTTTAAGTTTTTATTATTATTTTTTGAGATGGAGTCTCGCTCTGTCACCCAGGCTGGAGTGCAGTGGTGCGATCGTGGCTCCCTATGACCTCTGCCTCCCGGGTTCGAGTGATTCTTCTGCCTCAGCCTCCCGAGTAGCAGGGATTACAGGTGCCCGCCACCACGCCTGATTGATTTTTGTATTTTTAGTAGAGATGGAGTTTCACCAGGTTGGCCAGGCTGATCTCGATCTCCTGACATCGTGATCCACCTGCCTCAGCCTCCCAAAGTGCTGGGATGACAGGCATGAGCCACTGCGCTGGCCTATTTATTCTTGAGACAGGGTCTCGCTCTGTCACCCAGGCTGGACTCCAGTGGTGCCACCGTAACTCACAGCAGCCTCGGACTCCTGAGCGCAAGTGATCCTCCCGCTTCTGCCTCCGATGTTGCTGGGACAGCAGGTGTGTGCCACCATGCCTGGCTAATTTTTAAAATTTTTTGGGGGGGCCGGGGGCGCTCACGCCTGTCATCCCAGCGCTTTTGGGAGGCTGAGGTGGGCAGATCACGAGGTCAGCAGATGGAGACCATTCCTGGCTAACACGGTGAAACCCCATCTCTACTAAAAATACAAAAAAAAATTAGCTGGGCGTGGTGGCATGCGCCTATAGTCCCAGCTACTCGGGAGGCTGAGGCAGGAGAATGGCGTTAACTTGGGAGGCGGAGCTTGCAGTGAGCGAGATCGAGTCACTGCACTCTAGCCTGGGCGACAGTGCAAGACTCTGTCTCAAAAAAAAAAATTTTTTTTTTTGGTAGAGACAAGGTTTGCTCTGTCGCCCAGGCTGGTCGCGAACTGCCAGCCTCGAGATCTTCCCGCCTCAGCCTCTCAAAGTGCTGGGATTACAGGAGTGAGCCACCTTGCCCAGCCCTGGGGCTTCTTTAGACAGTCTGCCAGCTCTGGGTTCGAGCCTGCTCTTCTACTGCCCAACTGCTTAACCCCGTTGGGCCTCAGTCTACCCCTGCCCTTCCTGGGCATCCCATGAGTGAAGTCACAGCTGGCTTTAGCTCCCTGGGCACGGGGACAGCACAGTTCCTGCCTGCAAGTCACAGGGGTGGCCCTGTTTCTGTTTGGTCGTCTTTAAGCTTGCAAATCGCTTCCTCCTCCATGCAAATGATTCTCTTTGGACCCTGCCCTTGGCTGAGCCAGTGGGCTGGGGAGGGTCACCCCTTGCTTGCTGCAGGTGAGAAAACAGAGGCTCAGAGAGGGCCAAGCACTTGCCCAGCCTCCTCAGAATGGGGGATTGCTAGGAGTCAACTTAATTTTTTAAAATTAATTTTTCTAAAAAATTAGACACGGGGACTCTCTACGTTGCCCAGGCTGGTCTGAAACTCCTGGGCTCAAGTGATCCTCCTGCCTCGGCCTCCCAAAGCATTGGGATTACAGGCGTGAGCCACTGCGCCCAGTCAGGAGTCAACTTTATTTTATTTTATTTTTTTGAGACCAAGTCTCACTCTTGTCACCCAGGCTGGAGTGCAGGGGCGTGATCTTGGCTCACTGCAATCTCCACCTCCCGGGTTCAAGCGATGCCAGGAGTCAACTTTAGACTCCAGATCCCTTCTCAGGGCTGAAACCATGGGGGTCCCCTGGCCCCCAGGAAGAGTCTGAACTCCACCTTCTCCTGCCGCCAGCCTCCAGGACTCAGCTGGTAAAGCTGCCGCGGGCACCTGTGCCCAGAACCCCTGGCCTGAGCCCCCAGGGCCCTCTTCCCTGCTCACCTCCCTCCGCTTCCTCTTTCCTTCTCCTCTCCTGCCTCTGTGTTGTGTGTTGGGGCGTGTGTGCGTGTGACCGTGGAGAGCGCTGTCTCCAGTCCTTGTCCGTGTGTCTGGCCCCTGCCACAGCACAGGTGCATGTTGGTGCCCTTCACAGAAGCCCACCCTGACACACAAGGCCGCTGCCCACCTCTGGGCTTTCCGGGATGCCCGCATTGGGCTCAGCTGGCCGGGGGCATTGGGCCATCGGGTGGGGGGAACCGTGGGCTGGGTCTGCATCCATCCCCGGCAGCCCCCTGCTGAGGACTGAGGGGCTAGGCTGGAGCCCAGAGGCCACTCCAGGCCAGGGGGTGGTGGGGGGCAGCCCTCGCCAAGGCTAAGGCTCTGACTTGGTCCCTGTTTTCTGCACGCCAGATGAGAGCTCGGAGGAGGAGGACGAGGAGGAGGAGCTCGAGGAGGAGGATGAGGCCAGCGGCAGCGGCTATAGGCTGGGTGCCCGGGAGCGGGCCCTGTCGCCGGGCCTGGAGGAGAGTGGGCTGGGCCTGCTGGCACGCTTTGCCGCCAGCGCCCTCCCCAGCCCCACGGTGGGCCCGTCCCTGTCTGTGGTACAGCTGGAGGCCAAGCAGAAGGCCCGGAAGAAAGAGGAGCGGCAGAGCCTGCTCGGTGAGTAGCAGCAGGTGGGCTGTGGTAGGGGGGCGCACGCCATCGCCCCATCCCACAGGTGAGGAAACTGAGGCTCAGAGATGCAGGTGCAGAGCTGGGAACGGGCAGAACCCCAACCTCGTGGGCCAGCCCCATCCTGATCAGGGATACTGGCGACAGGGGCCCCAGCCTGCTATCTCCAAGGAGCGGACTCCTCGCCTTGCAAAGGGCAACCTCCTTCACTCTCATGCTTCCAGCAAACACGGTCCTGTTTGGGGCACTTGGGGGGCTGCAGGAGCTCCATGGAGGCCCCTGACCCAGCCTGGGGTTTGTGGGGGCCATTCCAGGTTGGTGACACCCAGTCTGGCCCGTGAGAGAGACGTGGGTGCTAGCTGAGACACAGGTGCAGGCGAAGGAACAGCCACGCCGCGGTAGGAAGAAGACAGAGCGCGTCTCGTTCAGGCTTTGCGGGGTGGTGGGGGTGCAGGCTGTGCCACGGGAGAATGGCTGGGACGGGCCTCATACGGCCTGGGCTTGAGCCTGGAGGAGTCTGGTGGGGTGGGCAGACACCAGGCTCTCTTCGACTTGCCCGCAATCCAGATAGATAAACCGAGGCAGCAGGCGCTTACCCCAGTCCATGTCCTTCATGTCTCTGCATCTCTTGATTGTTTCCCTGCATCAGGGCCCTGCGTTCTTGGGACCCTCTCGTGGACCCTCCCTATTCTCACCAGGCTGAGTGCCCTCACATGGATGCAGCTCACCTGCAGCTGGGGTTGGTGCCGGAGATGGAGATGGTCATGCATGTGTTCAGGCTCTGAGTTCCCCTGGCCCCAGCAGGGAAGGGTCCTTCTGACCCCTCAGGCGTCCTTTTCTGAGCCGCAGTAGGGGTAGGTATGAGGCCCTCCTGTCAGGCTGGGACAGAAAAACAGGCATTGCTTCCCCTGAAGGCCACCCAGCTGCCCCTGGCTTCATGTCCTCTGTAGGTTTGTGTAGCAAAGCCCCCCCCCGACCTCCAGTGTCTCTTGGAACCCCATTTGTGGCACCCATGCCAGGCTCCAGGCCCTGCCTTCCCCTCCTCCCTCTCACTCCCACACCCTGCCATTGTTTGCTGGGCTCCAGGCCTGGCTCTCCTAATAAAGAGGCACCAGGGCCCCCTACAAGGCTACCTATTCTTAGGTATTCTTCATACAGAAGCAGCTGGAGGGCATCTTCAGAGTACACTCTTGGCCAGGCCACTCTTCTGCCCAGAACCTCCAAATGGCTTCCCGCTGCCCTCTGATCAGTGCTATCTGTCTGACTCACCACCATCAGACAGACTGCTTGGACAACATTATCCTGTCCACAGCCGCTACATGCACCAGCCGGGCTAGTACCCTCAGTCATTTACACTTGCTATTAATACAGCCCCAAATGTCCATTTCACCCAAACCGTCCAAAGTATTGGCATATGGTCCAAATTATTCCTTTATTCTACATTGACTGTCTGAAGGGTCTGTAGTGATGTCTCCTTTTTCATTGCTGATACGGATTGTTTCTTCTTACTCTATTGCTTGGTCAGTCTGCCTAGACGTGATCAGTTTCATTGGCTTCTACTCTTTGTTATTTTCTTCCTTCTCATTCCTTTGGGTCCACACGCATGTCTTGGAGATACTGCAGGATTGCTTCCAAACCATAAAGCGAATATCACAGTAAAGCAAGTCACATGAATGTTTTGGTTTCCTAGTGCATATCGAAGTTATGTTTAAACTATACTGTTGTCTATTAAGTGTGCAGTAGCATTATGTCTGAGAAAACGATGTACACACCTTAATTAAAACCAGGTTATTGGCCGGGCGCGGTGGCTCAAGCCTGTAATCCCAGCACTTTGGGAGGCCGAGACGGGCGGATCACGAGGTCAGGAGATCGAGACCATCCTGGCTAACACGGTGAAACCCCGTCTCTACTAAAAAATACAAAAAACTAGCCGGGCGAGGTGGCGGGTGCCTGTAGTCCCAGCTACTCGGGAGGCTGAGGCAGGAGAATGGCGTAAACCCGGGAGGCGGAGCTTGCAGTGAGCTGAGATCCGGCCACTGCACTCCAGCCTGGGCGGCAGAGCGAGACTCCGTCTCAAAAAAAAAAAAAAAAAAAAAACCAGGTTATTGGCCATGCATGGTGGCTCACACCTATAATCTCGGCACTTTGGGAGGCCAAGGCAGGAGGATTGCTTGAGCTCAGTAGTTCAAGACCAGCCTGGGCAGCAGGGCAAGACCCCATCTCTACAAAAAAATAAACAGAAAAATTAGCCAGGCATGCACCTCTGGTCCCAGATACTTGGGAGGCTGATGCAGTGGGATCACTGGAGCTTGGGAGGTCGAGGCTGCAGTGAGCCGAGATTGCGCCACTGCACTCAAACCTAGGCAACAAAATGAGACCCTGTCTCAAAAATAAAAGACCAGGCAAGGCACAGTGGCTCACGCCTGTAACCCCAGCACTTTGGGAGGCCGAGGCAGGCAGATCACGAGGTCGGGAGATTGAGACCATCCTGGTTAATATGGTGAAACCCCATCTCTACAAAAAATTACAAAAAATTAGCCAGGCGTGGTGGCGGGCGCCTGTAGCCCCAGCTACTCGGGAGGCTGAGGCAGGAGAATGGCATGAAGCTGGGAGGCGGAGCTTGCAGTGAGCCGAGATCACGCCACTGCACTCCAGCCTGGGTGACAGAGCAAGACTCTATCTCAAAAAAAGAATAAATAAATAAAAATAAAAGACCAAACAAAAAGCATATGTTTACACTATCCTGTAGTCTCTTAAGTGTGCAATAGTATTGTCTTTTTTTTTTTTTTTTTTTTTTGAGATCAAATCTCGCTTTGTCACCCAGGCTGAAATGTAGTTGCGCAATCTCTGCTCACTGCAATCTCCACCTCCTGGGTTCAAGTGATTCTCCTGTCTCAGGCTCCCGAGTAACTGGGATTATAAGCACACACCACTACGCCTGGCTAATTTTTGTATTTTTATTTATTTATTTATTTTTTGAGACAGAGTCTCGCTGTATCACCCAGGCTGGAGTGCAGCGGCACAATCTCGGTTTACTGCAAGCTCCGCCTCCCAGGTTCACACCATTCTCCTGCCTCAGCCTCCTGAGTAGCTGAGACTACAGGCGCCCACCACCACGCCCGGCTAATTTTTTGTATTTTTAGTAGAGATGGGGTTTTACCGTGTTAGCCAGGATGGTCTCAATCTCCTGACGTCGTGATCTGCCTGTCTCGGCCTCCCAAAGTGCTGGGATTACAGGAGTGAGCCACTGCGCCCGGCCTGTATTTTTAATAGAGACAGGATTTCCCCATGTTGACCAGACTGATCTCGAACTCCTGAACTCAGGTGATTGCCCACCTCGGCCTCGCAAAGTGCTGGGATTCCAGGCATAAGCCACCGCGCCCAGCTGTCATAGCATTATGTCTAAGAAAACACTGTACGTACCTTAATTTAAAAATAGTTTATTGCCGAAAATGCTAATGATCATCCGAGCCTTTAGTGAGCTGTAATCTTTTTGCTGGTGGAGGGCCTTGCCTCGATGCTGATGGCTGCTTACTGATTAGGGTTGTGGTTGCTGAAGGTTGGGGTGGCCGTGGCAATTTCTTCAAATGAGATAACAGCGAAGTTTGCTGCATCGATTGACTCTCTCAAGGAAGATTTTTCTGTAATATGCAATACTGTTTGATAGCGTTTTACCTACAGGACTTCTTTCAACATTGGAGGCAGTCGTCTGAAACCCTGCCCCTGCTTTATCGTCTAAGCTTATGCAGTATTCTAAATGCTTTGTCATTTCAACAGTGTTGACAGCGTCTTCACCAGGAGTGGATGCCATCTCAAGAAATCACTTTCTTTGCTCCTCCATAAAAAGTAGCTCCTCATCTTTTAAAATTGATCATGACATTGCAACAATTCAGTCCCATCTCCAGGCTTCATTCTAACCTGAGTTCTCTTGCTGTTTCCACCACGTCTGCAGTAACTTCCTCCAGTGAAGGCTTGCGCCTTTCATAGTTGTCCACGAGGGTTGGAATCAACTTCTTTTTTTTTTTTTGAAATTGAGTCTCGCTGTGTCGCCCAGGCTGGAATGCAGCGTTGTGATCTCGGCTCACTGCAACTTCCGCCTCCCTTGTTCAAGCGATTCTTGTGCCTCAGCCTCCCGAGTAGCTGGGATTACAGGTGCCTGCCACCATGCCCGGCTGATTTTTGTATTTTTAGTAGAGATAGGGTTTTGCCATGTCGGCCAGGCTGGTCTGGAACTCCTGGCCTCAAATGATCCACCTGCGTTGGCCTCCCAAAGTGCTGGGGTTACAGGCGTGAGCCACTGCACCTGGCCTAGAATAGTGAATTCTTTCCAGAAGGTTTTCCATTTACTTTGCCCAGATCCATCAGAGGAATCATCATCTGTGGCAGCTATAGCCTTACAAATTATATTCCTTAAGTAATGAGACTTGAAAGTCAAAATTACTCCTTGATCTATGGGCTACAGAATGGGCGCTGGGCTAGCAGGCATGGAACCAACATTCATCTCCTTGTACATCTCCCTCAGAGCTCTTGGATGACAAGGTACATTGTCAATGAGCAGTAATATTTTGAAATGAATTTTTTTTCCTGAACAATAGGTCTCAACAGCAGGCTTAAAATATTCAGTAAATCATGCTGTGAACTGAGGTGCTGTTACCAAGGCTTTGTTGTTGCCTTTTTTTTTTTTTTTTTCCTTTCTGAGACGGAGTCTCGCTCTGTCACCCAGGCTGGCGTGCAGTGGCACGATCTCGGCTCACTACAAGCTCCGCCTCCTGGGTTCATGCCATTCTCCTGCTTCAGCCTCCCGAGTAGATGGTACTATAGGCGCCCCCCACCATGCCCAGCTAACTGTTTTTGTATTTTTAGTAGAGACAGGGTTTCACCGTGTTAGCCAGGATGATCTTGATCTCCTGACCTCGTGATCCACCTGCCTCAGCCTCCCACAGTGCTGGGATGACAGGCATGAGCCACCGCGCCCGGCCTGTTGTTCC